CTTGAAACAACTTGTAGTGAACACTATTACTAATTTTCTTTTGTTCATGCTATTTAAAAAGATAATCAATTTCTATTGTTATGAATAACAATGGACTGTGTTTTCGGGATGTAGAAGCAGGGGTTTCCAGAAACCCCGCTCGTCACACCCTGTGGTCAAAATCCATTGTTCTTCGTTACAATAGATCTATTCAATTTACACTTGTTTCAGAAATAGAAACTATGAAGTACAACAATAGAACTGGGGTGTAACAGAGTTTATGTATGAAGGTCTGGATGTGGTTTACAGAATAGAGAATAAGGGGCACAAAGTGCAGAATAAGGGAAAAAAGTATAAAGCAAAGAGAATAATGGGGTGTTGAAATATAGAGAATAGAGATTAACGGGCAAAAAATAAAAAGAATAGAGAATAAACTGCTAACACAGAGATATGTCTCGTCTTTTTGTTATTTTGATAGTAAAATGCAAATGTTGAAATTAAGATAGCAATACTTTAACATATAAGTTATGCAAAATATTCAAAATCAAAGAACCATGACTTGCTGAGGTGCAGTGCCAAACAATTTCCATGGAAATTAGATTTGCCAATGCTTATACAACTGCATACCACTAGTGGTTCCCCATAAACTGATCTAATCACAAACTAATACATGTGAACTAAGAAAAAGTTTTAAAGTCAGTATACCATGACTCAGGGGGAAAGGCCAAAAAATCTCCATGGAAATGAGATGTGCCAATGTTAATACAACTGCACACCAAATATCATTGACCTACCACTATTGGTTCCCCACAAACTGTCCTAATCACAAACTAATACATTTAAACTAAGCAAACGTTTCAAAGTCAGTGGACCATGTCTGAGGGGGCGGGACCAAATAATCTCCATGGAAATGAGATGTGCATATGCTAATGCATTTCAATTAGCATTGACCTTCCACAAGTGGTTCCCCATAAACTGACCTAATCACAAAATTAAACCCTAGTACGCTAACTGATGATCTTGCGAGTGATGGATTTGGTGTGACAACCAAGTCTAATATAGTTTCCCTCCTAATTGGTTGTTCATAAAGTTGTGTTAGGCTAGCTGATGTCGGTGTAGGTGAGTTGTTTTCTCTATCATTGCCGTTACTTATTGTGAGGTTTTCCTAATCTATATCTGGGCAGTTGAAATCTCCAGCTAATATTTAAATTTGTTGTTTTATTTGTTTTGGTAGCAATGTCTAATGATGTTCCAAGTTCTTGTGTAAGACATAATAGTGCCCTGTGAAAAAGTGTCCACCTGGACAGTATTTCACAGAATTAAAGTATTAAATAATGTCCATTGCCATGAAATTTTGTCTCTTAAAGGGACAGAATTTTACAGCAACAATTTTTCATAGCAGTTTTTATTAAATTATGTCCTTCAAGGGAAGTAATACTTGTTTTATTATACTTGAATTTTAATTTATTAAGAAATGTGTATTAGAAATAGATGAATTTAATCATAAAAAATGGATGTCAGTGAATACCGAGAAGTTTACAACTATCTAAGTTAAAAAATTTACCCAGAAAAGTTCAATGAAAATGTAAACTGTGGTGAACACTTCGAAGAAAATGTCAAAAATTATACAATCAAATTGGAGGAGTTACATTGATCTATATCATAATTATAAGGACAAGAAGGCCAAAAAATGTATAGAAAAGCTTGTGGTTCATTGTGATAAGCTGGACACTGTATTGTTTTAAATGTGTCATGATGAAAGTGGCTGTCATCTTGGTGTCAATAAGATAAGTTTCCAAAATTGCATCAAAATATTTATATTTTCCAAACATTGTTCAAGGACCAAATTTAATGGTAGAAAATGCAAGAAAAAATGTCCAGCAACACTTTTTCACAGCTCAAGACATTTTTTGCAAAGATAAATTGTGTCCGGGAACACACATTTTAATAAGTAAATTCTGTCCATGAACAGTATTTACTATAAAAAAATGTCCGGCGGACATTATTTCATGGGGGACATTTTTAAATCCTACACTTGAATATCTTTCTCGTTTTTTGTTTTTTGTTGCATGTTGAACTATGATATAAGCATGTCTGAGCTGTTTGAAGTTTTGATTTTGTCCATTCAATTTTACCAATATAAATACTCCCCCTCCAAGTGTTCCTCTGTCCCCCCCCCCCAAAAAAAAAAAACAAAAAAAATTGGATCCGCCACTGGCTAGTATCCGAATTCTGGAAAAACAATTCTGATGAACCGTTTGATTTCGTCCGAAACATGGAAAAAGGTCAAATTCTATAAAATACGCATTGGGGGTACCCTCTTTCCAACCCATTGTCTCGGCAGTTCCGTATGTAAAATTGAGAATGGAAATGGGGAATGTGTCAAAGAGACAACAACCCGACCATAGAGCAGACAACAGCTGAAGGTCACCAATGGGTCCTCAATGCAGCGAGAAACTCCCGCACCCGGAGGCGTCCTTCAGCTGGCCCCTAAACAAATAGGTATACTAGTTCAGTGATAATGGACGTCATACTAAACTCCAAATTATACACAGGAAACTAAACTTAAAAATGATACAAGACTAACAAAGGCCAGAGGCTCCTGACTTGGACAGGCGCAAAAATGCGGCGGGGTTAAACATGTTTTTTGAGATCTCAACCCTCCCCCTATACCTCTAGCCAATGTAGAAAAAACAAACGCACAACAGTACGCACAGTAAAACTCAGTATAAGAGAAGTCCAAGTCCGATGTCAGAATAGGAAACAAAAGAAAATAAACAAAATGACAATAATACATAAATAACAACAGACTACTAGCAGTTACTGACATGCCAGCTCCAGACCTCAATTAAACTGATTGAAAGATTATGTCTTCATCATATGAATATCAGGCACAATCCCTCCTGTTAGGGGTTTAGTATTATACCGTCGTAAAATATATGAGAAGGACATAACCCGTGTCATGCCAACAACTGGTTTTAGAATAAATGTGTTACAACAAATGGAAGTTTTTAACGACCTTGACTGGCTATACAGCCCTTGCACGGTCGGTAAATGTGTTAATTCCGATGCAAAGACCCTATAAGTGAATCAATATTTAAGCCAAAATATGCAATCTTTAATGACCTGACAACAGTATCGTAGCTATATCCCTTCTTAATAAGTCTGTTTAAAGGTTTTGTTAGCTTTTGAGGTGAATATTGACATTTTTGTGCTTTGTAAAGAATATAACCATAAAAGATTGGATGTGAAATACCCGAACGTATAAGATGTCTGCATGTTGAGTTATATTTACGAATGTTGTCCTTATACCGATGATAAAATTTAGTAAATGTTTTGACTAGTTTATGATATCGAAAACCCTGGTGTAATAATTTTTCAGTAATACATAAATTTCTCTCGCTAAAATCTAATACGTTGTTACATACACGAGCGAATCGTACAAGTTGAGATATATAAACACCATAAGATGGTACGTGACAAGGGGACGTCACCATCTAAAAATGGATAATTAACGATAGGAAATGAAAAATCATCTCTTTTATCATAAAGGACAAGGTACGATAAGCCCCCGTTTTGGCCCCCCTATTTTCTTATTTTTCAAATTTTGTTTTGGAAAGCTACTTATCATGTTAAAATATTCCCTGATGTTTGAAGTTTGTTTGGATAAACTTCAAAACCATTAATTTCAGCAACTGGGTGAGGTGGGGGGGGGGGGGGGGGGGTAAACTTTCCGTTATTTTTTCAGATATTGTAATTATTATTCACTTTGGAGGTGTTCCGTACAACGATTTTTTTAGTTTTTAAGTGTCTGCGCCAACGTGACCCAGGAATTTTTTTATTACAATGTCATTATCACTGTTTTTTTCTGTCTAGATCGCCATAATTTTCTCCGGGTCACGTAGGCGCACGCTATTAAATTTTAAGAAACACAGGCCAAAAATCGTAATTTTTCCTACTTTTAACGTTTTTGATGCCATTACACCCCCCTCACTTCATCTAGTTGCTGAAATTAATGGTTTTGAAGTTCATCTAAACAAACTTCAAAGCTAAGGGAATATTTCAACATAATAAGTAGCTTTCCAAAACAAAATTTGAAAAATGAGAAAATAGGGGGGCCAAAACGGGCGCTTATCGTACCTTGTCCTTTTTGTATTAAGCTTCCCGTTACTGATATAGATATCAAGATCGAGGAAAGGACAGTGGTCATTGTTAGTATTAGCTTTATTTAAACGGTAAGTTCAACAGGATAAATTTCTTTAGTATACATACTGAAGTCGTCATTATTGAGAGCCAATATATCATCCAAATATCTAAAAGTATTGTTAAATTTTTGTATAAGATGTTGTTTCGATGGGGTCTTTGCTGATTTTAGTCATAAATTGTAACTCATAACAATACAAATAGGTCCGCAATAAGTCTAGGGATTATATAGACTCAGTGCTTTAATTAATAGCTATTAGATAGTACTATAACGGGATAGTAAACAATTTCTGTGGTAAGTATTTTTAAAGGCCGAAAAATTTCGTCCGAACATAAAAAAGGCTAATCATTCGGATGAAATTAAACGGTTCATAAGAATTGTTTTACCAGAATTCGGATACTATATCATTCTGCATTATAGATAAATAGCTTTTTAAACATCTTAAATGTGAAGAACTGGTCAAATATGAAGTTTATTTAGTATAGACTATCCCTAATTGACCAATAGATAAAAAATATGCATGAGAGTCATTTTATCTATTCTTTATGATTATTATTTGTATTTTTATTTTTTTTAATTTTTTTTTGGCGCGAAACTATTCCTAGTTCCAATAAGTCACATGCACGTGGACTGGTCACATGCAATAAGTACAAGACTGAAGTTCCCGGTTCTTCTCGGTTCTGAATATTGTGCACCCCATTATTCTATTCTTTGTTTTTTGTTATGTTCAATATCTCTACCTCTATCCCCTCCAAACCCCCTTTCTCTCCCCACGTTCGTATTCAATACGTGTTCTAACCAAACAAAGTGCTGAAACTACTATTTCCGGTAATCAAGGGACATAACCTATAGAACAACCTGATCTCAAATTTCCAAAAATTCCATCCATCGAAATATTATTGATTATTTAAAGAAACGTTAATACGCCGTTATATCACACAAGAAAAACAGGTAATGCTTATTTCTATATTGTATATTCAGTGTATGAATAGATATGCAATACTGTTTAAAATGGTTAAACTGGAAAAATTCTACTTTCGTTTTCGTATTTAGACTTTCGGTTTTAGACTTCAGAATTATGTTTGAAAACTGTCATCAATTCATCCTGCATACATAAGCTTAACCTCTAACACATTTGCTTCTAGTTTTCAAGTAGAAAGACAAAAGAACGTTATTGTTGAACAGTCAATGACAGGTAAATACACACAGTACCAGTGGTAAAATAGTTAAAATGGTGCTTATAGCCAAAAATTTGTATAGTGTACAGTACACTATACAAATCCTTGTTATAACTTAATGAAATAACTATTTGAATTTAGAAAAATGAACCAAATGGCTATTCAAACATCAAATGAGACTTTGAACATCATAACAGAATCTACTTTCACTTTTGTATTTTTTTTTTTTTTTTTTTTTTAGTTTTGACTTTTGTATTGTGTTGGTATGAACACCTTATCTTTTTATTCAAATCCGGCCTTTGCTTTTGCAAGACTTGACCCAAACAGGAGGTTGTATAAGTGACCGCTTGTTTTTTTCTGGATTAGTCACTAAATAGTGATAAGGTGTATTGGGGGTGAGGGTTATATTTATGTTCAATTTTCATATCTTTGAACTAAAACTGATGAAACTGGAAAGTCAAACAACTAAAATATCAACAACCAACCACATATCTGGTCCGAATGGTTCTATACATCTGATCTGTGTTGTTATCATTTTCAGTCAAACATCATATATTAGTAAAATCTTATCAGAGCGCTATTAAATGCCAGGTGAAATTTCTGCTGCAAGTTGATTATTGACAAACATGTTTAACCCCTCCCATTTTTTGGGTCTGTCCCAAGTCAGGAACCTCTGGCCTTTGTTAGTCTTCTATTTGTTTTAAATTTTGGTTCATTTATATGTTTAGGAGTTCAAGGTGATGTCCATTTTTAACCGGATTTTCGAAGGAAATATCGGTTATTAAAATGGTGATGTAAGGCGGGCGGCTGGGCGGACCTACGGGCGGCTGGGCGGACCTACGGGCGGCTGCCAAACAGTGTCAGCACAATAACATGAAAACGCTTTAACAAATTTTTTTCAAATTAAAATATGTTGTTTCCTGGGACTTAATGAAGGTCTAGTTCAATTTTCAAGATTTTAGTTTATCTCCTTTGTGAGTTATTGTTATTTTTGATATCCAAAAGTGGAATTTTTAAATATTTTACTCTTGTTATCTTTTTTATGACTAAGCATAATGTCTTATCTCACAATAAAAATTGAAGTGACAGACTTATTTGAAAATTATCTATTTCCTTAGTGGTAATGATTATAAGCTATATTATTAGGCATTTTGAAGTTAATTACAATATTAATTATTAATTAGATCTGGGTTATATCTTAGCATATAATATCATTGGAGTGACAGATTTATTTGAAAATTTTCAGTTTCCTGATAAGATCTGTAGGACTGTATATATAAAGTTTGAAATTTACTAGAAGGACTGTATAAATGAAATTTGAAATTTACTGTTCATTATTAGACATTTTGTAGATAAATATATATTCTTACCCCCACCCCCCTTCAATTTGAGAATGTGCTTTTATCTTGTAAATGGTTGAGATCCCCACCCCTAAACCATATATATTCTTGAATGGGACAAAAAAACAAATCAAATGAAATATTTGGGGAGTCCCCGGGTTCACCCCACCCCCCTTCTTTTTGAAAACTTGTAAACGGTCAAGATCCCCATCCCGAAACCATATATCTTCTTGTATGGGACAATAAAACAAATCAAATGAAATAAAAGTCAAGTCCCCTGGGGTTACCCCACCCCATCCTGTTTAAGAACTTGTAAACGGTCGAGATCCCCACCCCTTAACCATATATATTCTTGAATGGGTCAATAAAACAAATCAAATGAAATATAGGGGAAGTCCATGGGGGTCACCCCCACCCCCTTCTTTTTGATAATTTGTAAACAGTCGAGATTCCCACCCCTAAACCATATATATTCTTGAATAGGACAATAAAACAAATCAAATGAAATAAAAGGCGAGTCCCCTGGGGTCACCCCCACCCCCCTCCTGTTTAAGAACTTGTAAACGGTCGAGATCCCCACCCCTACACCATATATATTCTTGTACGGGACAATAACACAAATCAAATGAAATATAGGGGAAGTTCCCTGGGGTCACCCCCACCCCCCTTTTTTTTGAAAACTTGTAAACGGTCAAAATCCCCACCCCGAAACCATATATATTGTTGTGTGGGACAATAAAACAAATCAAATGAAATAAAAGTCGAGTCCCCTGGGGTCACCCCACCCCATCCTGTTTAAGAACTTGTAAACGGTCGAGATCCCCACCCCTAAACCATATATATTCTTGAATGGGACAATAAAACAAATCAAATGAAATATAGGAGAAGTCCATGGGAGTCACCCCCACCCCCCTTCTTTTTTGATAATTTGTAAACGGTCGAGATCCCCACCCCTAAACCATATATATTCTTGAATAGGACAATAAAACAAATCAAATGAAATTGAGGGGTAGTCCCCTGGGGTCACCCCACCCCCTTTTTTTTGAAAACTTGTAAACGGTTGAGATCCCCACCCCTACACCATATATATTCTTGTACGGTACAATAACACAAATCAAATGAAATATAGGGGAAGTCCGCTGGGGTCACTCCCACCCCCTTTTTTTTGAAAACTTGTAAACGGTCAAGATCCCCAACCCGAAACTATATATATTCTTGTATGGGACAATAAAACAAATCAAATGAAATATAAGGCGAGTCCCCTGGGGTCACCCCCACCCCCTCCTGTTGAAGAACTTGTAAACGGTCCAGATCCCCACCCCTAAACCATATATATTCTTGTATGGGACAATAACATAAATCAAATGAAATATAGGGGAAGTCCATTGGGGTCACCCCCACCCCCCTTCTTTTTGAAAACTTGTAAACGGTCAAGATCCCCACCCTGAAACCATATATATTCTTGTATGGGACAACAAAACAAATCAAATGAAATAAAAGGCGAGTCCCCTGGGGTCACCCCATCCCCCTCCTGTTTAAGAACTTGTAAACGGTCGAGATCCCCACCCCTAAACCATATATATTCTTGTACGGGACAATAACACAAATCAAGTGAAATATAGGGGAAGTCCATGAGGATCACCCCCACCCCCCTTCTTTTTGAAAACTTGTAAACGGTCAAAATCCCCACCCTGAAACCATCTTATACACTGTCGTGCATGCTCAATCATAGTACTGGACGCGAAATCTAACTGATATAGGACAATGGTGTTGATTGAAAATAACGACATTCCAGGCCCGATCCCAGGTACTATTGGGATCAGGCCTGGAATGTCGTTATTTTCAATCAACACCATTGTCCTATATCAGTTAGATTTTGCGTGCAGTACGTCGATTGAGCATTACCTGTTGCATAATCTGCACTTTCCGACTGTCCAGTGCACCACCAAACGGTGTATATAGGATCAAAATCACACATGAACTTTGTCATTATACTGACTACCGGTAATATCAATGAAAACAATGGCAATCGTATCCCTTAGAGCAATCATGCTCTTTGATTCCAAAATTTCACTCATCAAACAAATAAATTTACACATGATAATTAATAATAACAAGGGAAATAATTTTAAAACAAATTACTTTTTTAAAAATGTCAATATGAAAGAAGTTGTTGGTAGCTCAGATTGAAGACAGGATTTAAAAAAATATATGTATCAACACTGAATACACTATGAGTTAGTGTATTAGGCCAATTAAAATTAATTGATAGATCTTCATCCCTGCTCACCCCTCTGAAATCGTCCCGCCCCAAATTTTTTATTTTTATACGCCCGTTTACGGGACGTATTATGGTATACCGTTGTCCGTCTGTCCGTCCGTCCGTCCGTCCGTCGTCAACATGTCGGACATTAACTCAAAAATGCTTTAACCAATTTGCATAAAACTTTGGTGAATTGTTTATATCTATTGACGTGAGCTCCCTTTCGTTTTTTATAAAATTTAGATTTTACGTTTCCGAGTTATAGGGTTTTATTTATTAAAAAAAGAGGGATTTTCCAGTTTTGGGACAATAAGTCAAGAATGCTTTCACCAACTTGCAAGAAATTGCGGTGAATTGATTATATCTATTGACATGAGCTCCTTTCGATTTTTATAAATTTTAGATTTTATGTTTCCGAGTTACAGGGTTTTATTCATAAAAAAAGGGGGGATTTTCCAGTTTTCGGACAAAAACTCAAAAATGCTTTCAGCAATTCTTATGAAACTTTGGTGAATTGTTTGTATGTATTGATGTAAGCTCCCTTTAGAATTTTATAAATTTTACATTTTACATTTCTGAGTTATGGGGTTTTATTCATTAAAAAAAGGGGTGATTTTCCAGTTTTCAGACAATAACTCAAAAATGCTGTCACCAATTCTCATGAAACTTTGGTGAATTGTTTATATCTATTGATGTAAGCTCCCTTTTTATTTTCATAAATTTCTAATATGACCAGGGATGGGGTAATCGTAATCTGTAATCGTAATCGATTGTAATTGATTACATTTTTTCCAGTAATCGACAGTAATCTGTAATCGAAGACATTTTCGATTACATGTAATCGTAATTTAATCGATTACAGCAAAAATCATGATGTAATCATCGATTACTTTCGATTACATTTCGATTACTTTAGTAAAATAGTTTGATGAAATATAACCTATTTTAAATGAAAACATTTATGTATTCATCACTTTGAAGTACTGATATGACTTAAGAGTTTATCAACTGCCTTTATATTTCTATCTATTGTCTCAAGCTGCATTATGATCAACCAGATCCCCTACCATAATTTACTTTATATCTAGCTTTTGAAACAAATGGATTTATATGCTTGTCAATAAGTCAACACCTTTTATATTAAAATAAGAAAATAGATTTGAAATAAGAAAATAGATTTAAAATAAGAAATGACTGTCTTAAGTTAAGTTCTGTACTTCCTTAAAGTAGTAAGCTTATTTGTATTAAATTTCCTAAAAGCATACTTTTCAATAAGATTTAAGCTTAGAATTAATAGATAAACAGTTGATTTCTTATAATGTTATGATATACATGTATATAAAAAATAAGTACACAAAATCCTTTTAACAGTGAACCAATGCCTATGCATTGAAATTCTTTTCAGAAAAAGATACATGTATCCCTTGTTGACACTATAAATATATACTGTTTATAATTTTATTATAGAATAAAAAAATCTTAACAAACTTCTTGTCTTTACTAATCAGATGATCAAAGTCTTCTAATCACTATATAAGACACATACTTTGTTTTTATTTCAATTACTGTTTGTCTAATTAAGATGGAGATTTACAATGTTTTGCCCCAGGTTATAAATTGTACTCAATTGGCAGTTTTATAACCTATAATTAAGGTGGTTTTCCAACAAAAGGATTAAATCATGTTTGTCATTATAATTATAAATTTTGATCCTTAAAATTAGCTGAACTAATTAATAATTCTACTTTTTTATACTTTCTTCAGAGAAAACTTCCAACATTGTAAATAACTATGCTAAAATATACCTGCTTTTAATGAATAAAAACAAAAAAGCTACCTTAAGTCAGTACGGAAGCAAAATTATTGAAATAAAACCTTGAACATATATATAAGTGATTGATGGAATGCAATGTCATCTCTAATTCATGTTGAAAGTCAAATTTCTAGATTTTTTAAAATAATTCTGATCCTCAGTAAGAGATTCCATCTAGATAACAACTGTCAACTTATAATTTGGAAACAATGATTTAAATGCTGTTTTTTGGTAAAGTTCTAAATATCTACTATACAAACGTTGATCAACATAATAGTTTTTAACTTACTTTTTTTTTGTTTTAAATTTTGAAGCATGTAATTGACAGTAATCGAAAAGTAATGTAATTACTTTTGATAAAGTAATCGATTGCAATCGATTACATACAAAAATCTGAGTAATCGATTATTAATCGATTGCACAAAATACCTTCATGTAATCGATTATTAATCGATTACATTTGTCAGTAATCGTGCCCATCCCTGAATATGACATTGAGAATTAATTGAACTTTATTTGTTTATAGTCTGACAACAGATTTACTAAGTATTGCACAACAGCAAGAAATCTTTAATTGAATATAAATTCAATTCATATAACTAATTTCAAGTTCTTTGACTACATTTATTCAGAATCCTATAATGTGTCAAATATTTAATTACAATCCAAATTCAGACCTGAATCAAGCTTGAATATTGTGTCCATTTTTGCCTCAACTGTTCAGGGTTGGACCTCTGCGGGCGTATCTAGCTGCGCTCAGCGAAGCAGTTTATTCAAAAAGTTACGATTTCTGTATTTTGTTCATTTCCGTTTCTGGTAACCACCCATAATATCGTTTTATTCATAACTTCCTGTTTAAAATTTCGTTTTTCGTATTTCCAAGGATTTGTATAGTGATACACTATACAAATCCTTGGTATTTTTTAGAGTTATTTAACCGAGAATAGAGATTGTTTACGAGAAGGGCATGAAGTATTTGGGTTACAAGTAATAGGCGGTGTTTAAGAACCCAAATCGTGGTATGTCACAAAATTTAGTGATTAGAAAATGACTTCGTGTCAGGAAATTTGGACTGTGAATGATATCCGAAGCGCAAGAATCGTGGAACACATTGGTACAAAAACATGACTGGAATAAATAAATTGACACAAACTTGTCCGAATTATGACCGTATTATTAATTAAAAAAAGTCGGCCAACAAACAAAATGTATTATAACAAGTCCTTAGATGTACCACAAGGCTGTCGTTTTTTTGTTGACAAACAGCACACACCTTCTGTTCCCAGTCCCTCAATAGAGTCATTAAACAACTTCTTCTTTTTGGTTAAGTCCATGTTTTCAATTGTAATTATATTTGCACCTTGCATAATAATCTTAAAAGCATCAACCCTAGTATTTTAAGTTTTCATTTCACTCTGTACTCATAATACTTGTGTTGCATACCAATGCATATGCTTCATTTTATGGGCACTACAAACCATAGCTTAGAAATAAAAATAAATTTGATGTAGGTAGTCTAAAAGAGAGCATTTCTCCACGTTTTTGCTATTTACTAAAATCATGTTTCTAAAGCGGCAATTACATGTAGAACAGTGGTTGTCAATCAAAAATATGTATTTAAGAATCTGAAAAATTATGAAGAACATTATATATTCATGATAGAACATGTCACAAAAGGGTTTCGGAGGAAATAAAAATTATAAAATAAAATCCTTCCACCACCCCCATATTTTTTTTTTAAAATCTGGATGAAAATCTAATTAATTTAAATTGGCCTTAAGAATATATATACATAATTTTTATATTTGAAAAAAATCTAATCTCAACTTGTACCTGTGGTTGAAAGTTGACAGAACATATATATTTTGCTGATTATAAATAATGTAAATTATTTCCCTATGATATTAGCAGATCAGAAATTGCCATAGAAAAATATCCGAATTAAATTTACACAATTACTTTTTATTAGAAAACAAGTAATAGATTATTGACCAATAAAACAATGTTTAGAACTAATAACTTATAGAATGTCAATAAGATAGAAGTGTTCATATCCAAGTCAAGTTTTGCTTTTATATGAAATAACACATTTGACCCAAGACTGTATTTGTATTGCAATTTGAATTGTGATACATTTGTTGATGCATTTGTATCAACAAATGTAGCTCCATTGTGAAATCTTGCAAGGAAACATAACCCTATACTGACTATATTACATGTAAATGACATTTACAATAACAGTTTCATATTGTAGAACTTGATAGAGAAGCAAACTGTGAATATAAACAATGGCTGACAATGCTGGTGGTGCAAATATACCGGAGGAGCGTGCAGCAATGCTACCAGATGACAAAGCTAAAAAGGATAAAAAAGAAGGAGGAGGAGGAAAGTACATGAAAAAGACCACTCTGACCATTCTGCTCGGGATTCTGAATGTCTTTTTGCTGGCCATCTTGATTTTCATCATTGCCTTTTTTGTAAAGGATAAATCCCAGAGAGTAATTATCAACCCTTCCAAGACATTTTGTCTGCCTTGTGATGAGATTTCCATCCATCCTGATGATGATCCAATTAATTTCAGACAATTTTCTAAGAGAAAAGAAAATGGAAAGGAGATTTGTTGTGCAGATGAGGGTCAAAACTTGGATAAATTAATGGAATTGGTAAGTAGTAATATAAACAGTGTAATTTCATCGGAATACATGTATAAAAAATAGGTCCATATCATTTTCAAGCCTCCAGAGTTAAATGAAAATTCTTTCAACAGGTGTATTAATGTATAGAATGTATGCAGATATCACAAAATCATTGAATGTAACCACTTTCTTTATACCTTTTTGGAAACTCCTAAAAACCATTTAAAAATGAAAAATGATTTATTATTGTCAGTGAAGGGAGGAGTCATGATAAAAGTATTTATTACATTGGTAGCAATGAATTACATTGATTTCCCAGTCAAATAAAAACCGATAATTTCACATGTGAAATAAACGTGGTTATTTCACTCTCTGACGTCATACAACAATAGGCGTTGTCAAGACGTCGATAACGTCGGATCAAAACAAATTGTGAATGCGTAGGAACAAGATATAGTTCCTTACATTTTCTACATTAATTTCCTTAAAAAAAGCCATTTGCCAATGTAATAAAATGAATAACTAATCAAAGAATTCAAATATCGAACAATATTCAACTCGTGACCGAACAACACTGATAATTAACTCATGCGCTACGCGCATTCGTGAATTAATGTGTTGTTCGGTCACTCGTTGAATATTTTTCTCTATTTGAATTCTTCGATTAGTTATTCTTTAATTATTTGATCCTGAAATTGTAAAACAAAACAATATTCTCCAATCCTTTTATTCTAGTCACTTTAAAAAGTGCTGAAATGAGACTTTTGACGTCTAAATGTGCTAAATTTCATATTTGACAAAAAATAGCCATCGTACATTGTACATACAGTTTGCAGTAAAATATGATATGAGAAACAACCTTTTTACAAATTATATTTGACTTGCATATTTGTTTAAAACATCAGTTTCTTTGAGGCTGCGGCTAATGTCTGATATAATAAGATATTTATTTTATTTTTTCGCAGTTTATTGTTAAATTCACAAGGTTTGAAGACCTAAAGTAAATATGTAAGACAAAAGTTAGTCATATTTTTTTGTTGTCTTACAAAATGATGAATTGTGACATCTCAATTCTTTATTACTCCAACCATAAGAGAGAAAATGGCTTTGTCATGCATGTCTTTCCATTTTATTTTGGGGCAAATTATGGGGAGTTACCAAATTCCTTTTTTAAGTTTTAAAAGTTGATTGAACAATGTAAAAACAGAAATTTCAGCTGTAATAGCATTTCAAATTTATAAAAAATTCTGACATTTTGTCAGAAATCCCAATTTTTGGTGAAATTATATAACATTTTATGCTATTTTTCAAGACCTCTACACCTTTCAATTCTTTTGGTTTACATGTTTTACTATTTTTATTAAAATATAGATCAGGAAATATAAATGTATTAAAGTTACATGATTTTTTTGACATATAATATAAAAATGAGATGTGGTATAATTGTCAATAAGACAAATATCCACCAGATACCAAATGATGTGGACATAACCAACTATAGGTCACAATATGGCCTTCATTAAGGTTAGTCCCACTTTTTTGTTTTACATGCAAATATCATAAAAACCCAGACATTTTCCATTAAAGAACTTCTAACCTTAAAATATATCCATTCCACAAAAATGACGAAATGTGAAATTTTTATTTTTCAGTATGTTGAAAGGAAACATGCTATGAAAGCATCAGGTATGTATCTTTGCATAAGTATAAAACTAAAGTTGAATAAATGTAAAGCTTAGGTCCAGTTCTATATTGTGGTCAAGGCAAGTTATTATTTACAAATTGTATTGAAAATAAAATATAGATGTTGGATGTATACAAGTACATTGGAGTTTTATTAAAATATCGAGCATATCTGGAATGTTGCAGCAAGATCAGCAACATTATGACTTTTGCAACTTAAAAAAAATATGTATGTTGAGAGAGGCATGAAAGGTTAGGAACTGGTTTTGTCTGTTAATTTTTAATTTAAAAATAATTGATATATATATAGCAATAATGATTAATAATGTAAGTGTTTTACAGCAATGAACACCCAGGAACTTCAGGCAGCATGTGACAGTAAGGTGGATGACTTTGAACCGAGAGTTATGGCGAGGGTTGCTGGTATATCTGGTACAAGACCAAGTAAGTTAGGGAAAAACATAAAATGTAGAGAATAGGTTCTGGCATATGATCTTGTAACAAAAATAAATTATGCACAAATGTTTCAAATGCTTGAATACAGCCTATTCATTGATGCTTCCAGTTTCCTTATTGTTCACTTTGAATTCAGTGTATTGGTAGCTAACAATAGTCAATCTCCTGTCACTAAGTTACTGGGGTTTATACATCATAGTTTTATTTTTATGTTCCCTAATGCATCCTATTGCTCTTTCGAAATACATCATCTGCTCAGACTTTTTCACTATACATTTTCCTTTAGATACTGAGTTGATATTTTGTGTGCAGATGTGCACAGATGATTAACAGATCAGATTTTTATGTTCCAATATAAATACTTTCGACTTTTGCCCTTGGACTTAAAATATACTTTCAGTTATTAAACTTATGTTTTGTAGTTAATTATATAATGAGATACAAAAAGAGTATTTGTTGACATGTTATAAAAGGAATAATAATACTTGAACCTAAACATTTACTCGGCAAAGGTATTGACATATTTCAGCATAACTAGTGTTTAAGTACCTTAAATCAACCATATTATGCAGAGAAGAAATTTTTTTTTTTTGTGTTTTACAGATGGTGTCAACCATATTGTTGACTGGAAGACAACTGGTAATGAAAGAGGTCTCTTCTTCAAAGAAAATGTCACCTATGATGTCGCAAAGGATGAGTTTGTCATCAACAAACCAGGATATTATTATGTCTACTCCCAGGTCACACTGGATTTCAGTGCTGCCACACAAGATAAGACCAAAAGTCTTTGCCACTACCTGTACAAAACTCCTCCAAGAGGACAACCAGATAAATTATTGGAAAACAGTCGCACTCGTTGTAAATTCCAGGGTACCAGCACACAATCAACAAGTTATATTGGAGCAGTCTTTAATTTCAACAAGGATGACAGATTGATGGTGAAAGTCAGTGACCCAAATATTCTTGATGGAGCAGACTCAAAGAGTTATTTTGGACTTCATATCATTTAAACATTTATTTAATTTCAAGAGGGGGGTTTTCATCAATTATATATAAAAAATATGGATTGACAATCTTAGAGTTTCATGCTTTTAAAATTTTCATTGTTTTTGGGAGAAGTAAGAACATTTTTTCATTATTGTAAAGTTCTAATTGACAAAAATTGAGATCAATCACTGAAACATATTTTAAGTTGAGAAAGTTGTGACAAGTGAATTACTTTGAACATAAGAATTTAAAGGACTGTTTTTATCACTTCAGTAATAATCAGTGCCATATTTAGATTTTGTGTTTGTGTTGATTAGAGTTTTCTTTTTTCAATAGTTTTGGTTGTAACATTCCTTATAACATTTTTTATGATCAGAAGGTATATTTCCTGTTTAAATAAATCTGTTTCAACTTTTCTCATCATTTATTTGATTCCTGACAACATGAAATATGGGAAGAAAAAGTATGATAATTGAAAATCCCATTTCTTTTTAAATCGGATTTTTGTGAACATCCTCTTTGGGAAATAATTATTTCTATAATTTATTATACATTTTTCATTTTTTTTACTGCGTCCATCTACATCCAATATATTTTTATGGAGCCCTCAAACCCCACTTTTATTTTTAATCCAAGGCCTGCTACTGCAAATTACCTTACTAAAATATAATTTGTCTAATTTTGTTCTGAGCTAAAAGAGAGGCGAAAGATACCAAAGATACCATAAAACTACACAACACTATTGATACCATAAAACTACACAACACTATTGAATACACTTAATGATTGTGCAACTCCAAGCAAGATCGCATCAGTTGTTACTGTATTTAAACAGGAAATACAAACAAAATGTGTGACATTGTATATATTTAATGCCCTACTAACTTGTTTTGCTTTGATTGTTAATGTACTAGCATACAATAAATAGCTTTATGTAACTTTTATTATCATATTTACTTATTGTACTCAATATAATTTAGGTTACACCTATTAACTTATATTTTTTTTAAATGATACCATTTTCGATTTAAGACAGCTCAAGATATGTGCTGAGAAAATAAAAAATTATTTTTTTTTTAGTTTTCACACCATAGTGCTAGCAGATTTCTTTTCGATACAAACACCATTTATTGTGTTAGTGAAAAAAAAGTCAAGAAAAAATATGCAATCACACTCGTATTGTTGTTCCTTTAATGTTTTAACACAACTGTATTAAAACTCAAATAATAAACTAAATTGAGATGTTGTGTATACATTGGAAAGAGAGAGTATATAACCCATTATTTTTTAAATGATTTCTTACCAATTTCTACCATATTGGTGAAGGACATGCTGCACAACTTGTAATTTGTTGATTTTATAGTTTTATAGAGAATTAATCACCCAAAAAAATGTTTGTATGTTGTTATATATTTTAAACTATGTATATCATTTTTTCTTTATTGTTGGTTAGCAAAGCATTCCTAACTTCTAAGGGCAGTTTATACTACCTCTAAAAAAATTAAAATTAAATAAAATGAACAAAATAACATGCATAGACATGGGGATTAATAAGTTTTTATATACCTTAACATTAATGATGATGTCCTGCCTTTAATTGAATTTGATATTCAGTTGCTAAGAAATAAAATTAAAAAGTAAGAAACTTAATTTTTCATGAAAATGTAATATATTGATTAAGAGTTGTTAAGTTATAATTATTCATAAATCATTGTAAAATGGCAATATTCTTTTGTAGCATTATACCAATATAAAGAAGCATTTTAAATGCTCAGCTTGAAAGCTTTTGAACTAATGTATTTTAATCTTATAACTTAATCTGTGTTTTGTCCTGTTTTGTAAATATGTCTTTAGTTTTTTTAATAAAAAAAGCACACAAAAAAATTGACTTTCTCTTTGTAGCTAAACATATTAAAATAAGGAGATGTGGTATGATTGCCAATGAGACAACTATCCACCAGAAAACAATTGACATGGAGGTCTTTTTTTTCTTATTTAGCTTACAAACATATCAACTATTAGCATTACATGAAATTCTTTGTTAAATGTTATGGGATCTAGTCTACTTTAGAATTTACATTGCCCTGCCTTTTAACTAACATGGATGACAGGACTAAAAATAGCACTAAGGGCTAAAAAAAACCACTTCCAATATAATATCCATTAATGAGAAATAAAAACTCACATCTATTTTACTTTCAGTCCATCCGTGAAATTTTTGTAGCTCTTTTCTCAGGAACTACAAATTAGTTTTCTGAAATTTGGTATCAAGCTTCATGTGATGTCATGCGACACCTTTTCAGATTCATCACCCACCAACTTTCCTGTTCACTGAATACTTATATAGTCTTACACATTATCACCATGTATGGCATTTTCAGTTCATTTATCTCAGGACATACAGATCAGAGCTTTCTGAAATTTGGAACAAAGGTTATGTGAGCCAGCTTTACCATGTTATGAATTTATTGACAGGATTTTAAAATTAGAAATAACACATTGAGTAGATAGCAAAGTTTTGGTGTTGTATAATGGTATCAGGCTGTTATCTTCTAATTGTTTAGATAATTTCTTTTCACAATAATTTAAGGATGTTTGCTAGTCTTCATTTTTGTTGAGCCTGCGACTTTTGTGGCAGAAAGCTCGACATAGGGATAGTGATCCGGCGGCGGCGGCGTTAACTAACTTCTTAAAAGCTTAATATTTCAGAAGGTATAAGAGGATTCTTCATACTTTGTATATAGATGCCTTATGATATGAAGTTTCCGTCTGTCCATTTTCCTTGACCTCATTTTCATGGTTCAGTGACTACTTGAAAAAAAAGTTCAGATTTTTTGTAATGTTAATTTCTCCCTTATTATGAGTAATAGGATAACTATATTTGGTATGTGCGTACCTTGCAAGGTCCTCATGCCTGTCAGATAGTTTTCACTTGACCTCGACCTCATTTCATGAATCAGTGAACATGGTTAAGTTTTCGTGGTCAAGTCCATACCGTATAGCTGGTAATTTTCACGGGGTGTTTATTTCTGCTTATTTTGGCGGATGAAGGAACATCGCGAAAATAAATTCCGCGAAAATTTATGCATACATTTGGTACTTTCTAATAGCTAAAGAGTTTTGTAAACGATCTATGTTTTCCGGTCGACGGGTCAATAACTGTTAATGATAGTTTAAACAACACAAATGCCATATGGCATTATTCACATTTAATTAATGAAATCGCTGTCAAGTGTTAATTAGTTAATTAGTGTGAAATAATATAAGAGTGTAAGGTATTCTGTCAAGTATTTACCCTTTTTCATTAGTGTCAAATTATATAAGCGTTGCAAGTTACTCTAAATAATTTTACAACCTAATTAGTACATCAAAGGTCAATTTCGTAACTAATCAACCGTAACATTTACAAGGAGTTTGTACCCCTGTGACAAATATCTAAGTACCGGTATTCTATTGATGAACTGTATCAAAATATAATCAATAAATGAGACATTGTGCAGGTAAAACAATCATTTAACCATAACAATAGACACGTGTTTGTCAATTTTTACAACTTTTTAACTGCAACCATTTCAGATTCCGCCAAAATATTTAATTCGGATTTCAGAATCCGCCAAAATAAAAACCGCCAAAATTTTTCGTATACTTTGTTGCCACTAAATCGCGAAATTTTACAGCCGCTAAAATAACCCGCTATACGGTATCTCGGATACTATAAGCAATAGGTCTACTATATTTGGTGTATGTAATGAATGTAAGGTGTACATGTCCAACTGGCATGTGTCATCTGACCTTGACCTCATTTTCATGGTTCAGTGGTCATAGTTTAGTTTTTATACAACCACAAAACATTTTGCGGTCAAATTGGTATCACGTCGTTGCCGTCGTCGTCAGCGTCGTCCGAAGACAGTTGGTTTCCGGACAATAACTTTAGTATAAGTAAATAGAAATCTATGAAATTTCAACACAAGGTTTATAACCACAAAAGGAAGGTTGGGATTGATTTTGGGGGTTATGGTCCTAACAGTTTAGGAATTAAGGGCCAAAAAGCATTTTTCTAGTTACCAGACAATAACTTGTGGAACGGTGTATGGATCTCTCTGAAATTATACCACAAGTTTCCATACCACAATGGGATGGTTAGGATTTGCTTTGGGGGGTTATGGCTCAAACCCTTTAGGAATTAGGGGCAAAAAGGGGGGAAAAACAAGGGTTTCCTGGTTAATGGACAATTAAAAAAAAGTACAATGTTATGTTTGGATTACCTCCCTTACACTGCTTTTAAATTATGTATAAAGAAATGTTGTATTGTCTTGAGGTGATTTGCTGTCAATTTATTTTTAGAAGTTACTATTTAATAAACTGTTATCACAGAGATATGTCTCGCCTTTTTGTAATTTTGATAATGCAAATGTTGAAATTAAAATAGCAATACTTTAACATGTAAGTTATGCAAATATTCAAAGTCGATGAACCATGACTGAAGGTACATGGTTAAACAATCTCCATTGAAGGAGATGTGCCAATGCTAATACAACTGCATACCAAATACCATTGACTTATTATAAGTCGTTCCCTTTAAACAAACCTAAACACAAACATTAACTTGTAAACTATGTAAAAGTTTCAAAGTCAATGAACCATGATCGGGGGTTGGGCTATATAATCTCCATGGAAACAATACTTGCAAATGCCAATAAATTTGCATACCAAATATCATTGACTTAACATGAGCAGTTCATCTTAAACTGATCTAATCACAAACTAATACATGTAAACTAAGCAAAAGTTTCAAAGTAAATAGACCATGACTGAGGGGGCGAGGCCAAATATTCTCCATGGCAATGAGATGTGCTAATGCTTATACAACTGAACACCAATTAACATTGGCCTACCACTAATGGTTCCCCTTGAACTGACCTAATCACAAACTAATACATGTTAACTTATCAAAATTTTCAAAGTCTATAGACCATGACTAAGGGAGCAGAGCCAAATAATCTCCATGGTAATGAGATGTGCCAATGCTAATACAACTGCATACCAAATATCATTGACCTACCACTAGTGGTTCACCATGAACTAGACCTAATCACAAACTAATACATTGTTGACGTCGATTACGCCGGAAACAGCATACCTATGTCTCGCTTTTTGACTCCATCAAGGCGAGACAAAAATGCTGATTAAGGAATATTAATTTTAGACATGATTATGTATGTCATTTTCTATTTTAAAAATTTTATGATGTATTTATATGGGTAATTATGGTTGCAAACTCCATTGGAAATTTGAATTGAGATTATGACCATATCTTGAGGGAAAGATTTTTTTTAGGGGCGGGGATCAATTCGCAACAGCATAGTGTATTGCACAAAAGCAAAAAATTGATATAAATTCAAATCATATAACCAATTCTAAGTTCTTTGAAAACAGTTATTCTGTGTCAGAAACCTATTATGTGTCAAATATTTAATTACAATCCAAATTCAGACCTGTATCAAGCGCGAATATTGTGTCCATTTTTGCCCCAACTGTTCAGGGTTGGACCTCTGCGGTTGTATCCAGCTGCGCTGGGCAAAGCAATTTATTTTAATTTTATAAAATCCTTGTTATTTTTTCATAGCTTTTGAAAGAAAAAAGGTGTCAATGTTAAATGTATGAAAAATCTAAAGAAAATTTTTCCCACCAAATTGTTAATGGCTTTAAATTTTTAATCTCAAAAACAAGGACATGGACCAATAACTTTTTTCTGCTTTTAAGTTCCGTTATTTATATACTATCAGTTTATGACAGTCTTTTAAAAAGCTTGTTATTTTGAAACAGGGTTGTGAACATCCTTAAGTCATAGCTGACCAATTATTCATGAATTTTAATGCAATTTTCTTTGGAGATTATTGGCCCACGTATTGTTTTTTTTCCAAGATGAATAGAGAAAAAATTACCATGCAGATATGTTTCTTATAAGGTACTTGCCAAGATTTGTTACTCGGGTCATGGTGAATCTTATAGTGTTATATGTCCACTTTTGATAAAAATAGAGATAGCTCTATATTTGATATCCAAGTGCAATGGTCTGTCTCCCTATACAACTATAATACAAGATTTCTACACTCTACAAGTTTTTGATAGAAATACTGTTCCATCTCCACACTCCCAATTGATGATAATAGCTTATTCATCTAGTAAGTTATATCTCCACTATTTTTCAGGTATTTTTGCTGTAAAATAATTGTTATCAATATTATCTTAGTAGCGCTATGCTGAAATAGTTTTCATAGTTTGAACTCAGTCAATGAGTAAGTCCAGAATTGGGGATACTACAGTTAAAAAGCCGTGGTCTATCTCCAATAATAAAATAAATGGATAAAATTCTATAAAACATTGTTTGTAGTGAAGTGTTCCATATCCAAAAAAAATGCTTCGCTGAGCGCAGCTGGATACGACCGCAGAGGTCCAACCCTGAACAGTTGGGGCGAAAATGGACACAATATTCGTGCTTGATACAGGTCTGAATTTGGATTGTAATTAAATATTTGACACATAATAGGTTTCTGACACAGAATAACTGTAGTCAAATAACTTACGATAGGTTATATGATTTGAATTTATATTCAATTTTTTGCTTTT